ATATATCATACAGCCCAATGTGGTTAACAAAGAAGAGTTCAAGGAAGGTTATGAAGGATCGATATACATTTTATTTGATTTTCTTATTATTAACTCTGCATTTTACTGTCAATAGTCAGAATCTTGAATCGTTTTTTAATCTTAGAAATTTAGAATGACAAAAGGCTCACTTTAATTGTAGATCTTGTTTCAGTGAGTGAAATAAAGCCATATTCACAATATGGGGTAGAATGGAGAGCATTGTAATCTAATAAATTATAATTTGTTGTCATCATATTTGCTTTAGTGTTATAAATTCTATTATTATATTTAAAAAAGATAAGTTTATTGAAAAATGATATAACAGTTGATTTATCATGAACAGACAAGGGTATTTGAATATATAGTTAGAATCATTATTTAAAAGAATTTTATTGAGTATGAATATATTTAAATTTATATAATAATTAATATTCTAGTTTATATTACTGCTATTAATATTACTTACTATTGATACACTACTATTAGAATAAGAATTGTTACGCGACCATTATTATTATTATTATTATTTATTTATTAATATTATTATAATTATTTGTATTAGATAACTGATAAAAAATCAAATTTTACTTGCAGTAAATGTTTGTTAAGATGCACGGACGACTTAGGTTACATGAGGCGTGCCCCATATAACGCTCCATTTTCTTCAATTAACTTTGATTTTCCAACTTTGAAAATTTTTTTTGTATCACGTTATTAATTCATTTGTAACGATGTTTAGAAATTCCATATTTGGTCTGGAAAATTTTCCGTTTGATCTGCGCACCATATTAATATTAATAAAGTCATTAATAGAATAATGTCTGAAGAACAAATAAATAGCAAAGAAAAGCCTACAGTTGTCGCTTCATCTTCTGAAGTTACTAGTGTTGATGGTGGTAGTAGCAGCAATAGTAATGATAATAATAATAATGATAATAAAGAACAAAAAAATTCAGAAATTACAATTATAAAAGAAAAACTTGCTGCTGGTAAAGTCGCAAAAGATAAAGGAAATGAATTCTTTAAAGAAGGAAAAGTTAAAGAAGGTTAGTTGTTGGCTTTTTTGGTCATTAATAATTATAATTAATTTTACTTTTATTTATTTATTTTTATTTTTTTATTTATTTTTTGAATTTAGCATCATTTCAATATCATCAGGCAAGTCCCAATTTTTTGTTTAATTACAATTTGTTGAAAATGCCTTATTTAATTTTTTTTTTAATTTGGTAGTAATTAATTAATCAATGTTAATTGCTAGGCTTTGTTTTATATAAATGGTTTACAAGTAACTAAAGACTTTGGGATTTTTCGTAAAGATCTACAAGAAGATGATGATCAAACAAAAAAAAATCCATTACAAGAAGATATTAAAAAAACTACCAGTATAATATATAGTAATTTGGCTGGTAAATATATATGATCTTTAAAATCCAATTTATTTAGATAAACATATTATTATGATGATGACAATGATGAGTTATAACTAATAGTAATAATATAATGAATAATAATAGCATGCGTTCTTAAAAATGAAAATTGGAGTAAAGCTATTGAATATACACAAAAGGTAATCACATTATTATTGATATTATTTTTAATGATGAATGGATGAAAAAATCTAATTGTTTAATTATTTTTGGAATTAGGCCTTAAAAAATGATCCTGATAATATAAAAGCTTTATACAGACGTGCTCAAGCTTACATTGGTGATGGTAACACAGATAAGGCCAGAGAGGATTTGAATAAATTGACTGAGAAAGATCCTAATGGTAAACAAATATAATAATAATAATAATAATATAAAAAGTTAGATAATAATAATAATAATAATAATAATAATAATAATAATAATAATAATAATAATAATAATAATAATAATA